CTTCAGATATGTTCTCTCAGGGCCGCCATCACAAATTTTGGGGCCCCTGACAAAGCACAAGGTCTGGGCCCCCCCTCACTCCCGGGCTCGCCCACGCCCTACCTGGTCCGCTGACAATGACGCAGGACTGAATGTGGTGTGTATAGTGGAAGTGAATTAGAATATGTGTAATGGATGTAGTGTTTGTGTGTATTAGATACTGTTTGTACAGTGAATGCAGAGTGTGTGTTTGTGTAGCGATGCAGTGTGTATAGTGAACACAGAGTGTGTTTGAGTAGTGGATATACTGTGTGTACAGTGATGTAGTGTGTGTTTGTGTAGTGGATGTAGTGTTTGTATGTACTAGATGAAATGTGTTTAGTGGGTGCAGTGTCTGTAGTGGATGTAGTGCATGTATTAGACGCAGTGTCTGTGTATAGTGAATGCAGAGTGTTTCAATGTGTGGTGGATGTAGTGTGTGTACTGTGAATACAGGATGTTTGTGTAGTGGATGCTGTGTGTACAGTTAATGCAGAGTGTATGTTAGTGTAGTGAATGCAGAGTGTATGTGAATCAGAGTGTAGTATTTAGTGAATGCAGAGTGTGTGTTAGTGTGTAGTGAATGCAGAGTGTGTCAGTGTAATGAATGTAGTGTGTGTGTTAGTGCAGTGAATGCAGAGTGTGCGTAAATTTGTAGTGAATGCAGAGTGTGTGTTAATGTGTAGTGAATGCAGAGTGTTAGTGTAGTGAATGCAGAATGTGTTAATGTGTAGTGAATGCAGAGAGTTAGTGTGTAGCGGATGCAGAGTGTGTGTTAGTGTAGTGAATGCAGAGAGTGTGTTAATGTGTAGTGAATGCAGAGAGTGTGTTAGTGTGTAGCGGATGCAGAGTGTGTGTTAGTGGAGTGAATGCAGAGAGTGTGTTAGTGTGTAGCAGATGCAGAGTGTGTGAGTTAGTGTAGTGAATGCAGAGAGTGTGTTAGTGTGTAGCGGATGCAGAGTATGTGTTAGTGTAGTAAATGCAGAGTGTGTGTTAGTGTGTAGCGGATGCAGAGTGTGTGTTAGTGTGTAGCGGATGCAGAGTGTGTTAGTGTAGTGAATGCAGAGAGTGTGTTAGTGTGTAGCGGATGCAGAGTGTGTGTTAGTGTGTAGCGGATGCAGAGTGTGTGTTAGTGTAGTGAATTCAGAGAGTGTGTTAGTGTGTAGCGGATGCAGAGTGTGTGTGTTAGTGTAGTGAATGCAGAGTGTGTTAATGTGTAGTGAATGCAGAGAGTGGGTTAGTGTTTAGCGGATGCAGAGTGTGTGTTAGTGTAGTGAATGCAGAGAGTGTGTTAGTGTGTGGCAGATGCAGAGTGTGTGTTAGTGTAGCGGATGCAGAGTGTGTGTTAGTGTAGTGAATGCAGAGTGTGTTAATGTGTAGCGAAACAGAGTGTGTGTCAGTATAGTGGATGCAGTGAGTGTGTTAGTGTGTAGTGTATACAGAGTGTATGTTGTATTAGTGTATGCAGTGTGTGTGTTGTGTTAGTGTATGCAGTGTGTGTGTGTTGTGTTAGTGTATGCAGTGTGTGTTGTATTGGTGTGTGTGTTGTGTTAGTGTATGCAGTGTGTGTGTTGTATTGGTGTATGCAGTGTGTGTGTTGTGTTAGTGTATGCAGTGTGTGTGTGTGTTTTGTTAGTGTATGCAGTGTGTGTGTGTTGTGTTAGTGTATGCAGTGTGTGTGTTGTATTGGTGTATGCAGTGTGTGTGTTGTGTTAGTGTATGCAGTGTGTGTTGTGTTAGTGTATGCAGTGTGTGTGTGTTTTGTTAGTGAATGCTGTGTGTGTTGTGTTAGTGTATGCAGTGTGTGTGTGTGTTGTATTAGTGTATGCAGTGTGTGTGTGTTGTGTTAGTGTATGCAGTGTGTGTGTGTAAATGTGCAATGTGTAAATTAAATTTAAATGATATTCCCCCCTCCCTGCTTACTTGTGTCCAGGGAGGGGGGAGATTCCATCCATAGTGGTCCAGTGGGGGGGGGGGTCCCGGCTCCCTGTTACAGCAGAGGGGGCCCAGGCAGCACACAGTTTCTCCTCTCTTCTCTCTTCTAATAACTCTTGCGAGACCCGGTTACCATGGCAACGCTCCACGGGTCTTGCGAGAGTTGTGAAGCTGTGTGCTGGGCCCCCTCTGTGGTAACAGGGAGCCGGGGGCCCGCGGCTGCACACATAGATTGCGATATTCGCTATCTATGTGTGCAGAGAAAGAAAGTGCTGCAGTCATGGTTGTCACCCCCTGATGGCGGCCCTGAATCTAGGGTTAGACGTAGCAATCTCTATGTCCCTAAAAAAGTAGGAAAATCTGCCCAACTTTCTTAATTACCACTATGGAGACCAGATGGCACAGGTGCATCAATGATTTGCAGGTGTTAAAGCAAAGCCGTAAATGGACCTGGAAAATGCACTGTTTGCCCAGGACCATCCATTCCTATTCGATGACCTAAACAGCATCTCTCATCATTATCTTCTCAAACTTGCATTCCTGCCGGTATGCAACCCTGAGACATTAAATGAATACTCCAAGCATCATAACCAGTGATGTCCCGAACGGTTCGCTGGCGAATAGTTCCTGGCGAACATCGCTTGTTCGCGTTCACCACAGATGGTGAACATATGCGCTGTTCGGTCCGCCCCATATTCATCATCATTGAGTAAACTTTGACCCTGTACCTCACAGTCAGCAGACACATTCCAGCCAATCAGCAGCAGACCCTCCCTCCCAGACCCTCCCACCTCCTGGACAGCATCCATTTTACATTCATTGT